AGTGTGCCCTGTTCCATTTGACATCTCCAACACGTTGGTGGTATTGTCTGGAAGATTCGGTGTAGGACGGTTGGCGTTCTATACCAGGAGGAAATCAGTTTATAGTTAAATTCTTGATAATGTGAGCTCATGTAGCTCTTGTGTTGCCACACGAGCGCTTTGTCCCATTGCTGTGGTGTGAGTGTTCTGCCTAGTGATTCCTCCCATTGCCTTTTAAATGTGTTATCTGTTCGGCCATTCATGACTGGGTGTTGGTATAGTGAGGAGACTGCATGATCCAACTCTGAGCTCTGTTCACATAGTTCTTCAAACCATGTTAGTTCCCTATGCAGGCGTTCTTTATGTGTGAGCGTAGTGTAGTATTGTTTTAGTTGCATATATCTAAGGGTAGTCAATGCGGTCCGTGGTCTGCCTTCCAGCAGCGAGTCCAGGTCCCTCATTCCGCCGTCTTTTAAGGCCCTTCATATGGGTATGTAGTCTCCGTCACCCAGGAAGTTCCACGTCCCAGCTGGCAATCCTCCACCAATTTTGCTGTTGTGCGTCACCGGAATGAGGGGGCTGGGCGTTGGTAAGATGTGTGTTTGTTCTCTTAGCGATTTCCATCCGCGTAACGTTTGTGCTACCGGTCCCTCGCCTACCTTTTGGTCACTTGGTCTCATTTCCCCCCCAGATCATCGGTTCCAATGTCAGTTCATTGACTGCTTTATCCAACGTTACCCATTGCTTATGTGGGGGTTTTGAGTGCCAGTCAAGAATGCGTATTAGCAACCTGGTGGTATTTTCTAAAACCCGGTAATGCCAATCCACCGGAGGGTCTAGGTAGGCATAATATGTTGTGTTTTAGTCGGGATTTTTTGCCACGCCATGTGTAGTGTATGACTGCTGTTTTCAAGGAGGTGAAGAATGCTGCTGGTGGTGTGAGGGGTATGGTCTGCATGAGGTATAGGATTCTAGGAAGCACATTCATTTTGAGCACTGCTATGTGCCCGTGCCAGGTTATGTGCGGGAATGCCCATCTAGCTAGGTCTGCTGTGATCTTTTGCAGTATGGGTTGGAAATTATGTTCATATAATTGCTTGGGGTCTGTGGTCACCCATACCCCCAGGTATTTCATTTTGCCATAACACCATCGAAATTCAAATTGAGAATCCATTGCCATGTATTCGTCACTAGGGAGTGTAAGATTCAGTACCTCACATTTTGTCAAGTTGAGCTTGAACCCTGACATTGTGCCAAAGCGTTCAAATTCCACTAGGAGGTTTGACAGAGTTGTTCGGGGTTGTTTGATGAAAAAGAGTAAATCATCGGCGTAAGCCGCTACCTTGTGGGTCGTTCCCAGTCCCTCATGTCCCCTAATGTCTGGGTTCAGGCGAACTGCTTGGAGGAGCGGTACTAGCGATATAGCGAACAATAGTGGGGAGAGTGGACACCCTTGTCGCGTTCCATTCTTTATCTTGAAGTCAGTCGTCCGAGCTCCGTTGACCTTCACTGCTGCCCTCGGCTTGCTATATATGGCGGCGATCCATTTTAAGAGCTTTTGTCCCATCTCCATCTCCCTCAGCGTGGCCATCATGTATTGCCAGTCGACTCAGTCGAACGCCTTCTCCGCGTCAGTCAACAGCAACAGAAGGCGCTCCCCCATCTTCCTCGCCCGGTGCTGGATGGAGAAGAGTTTTAAAGTGCTATCTCTTGCCTCTCTTCCAGGTATAAAGCCCGTATGATCCATGTGAATCAAAGACAGTAGGAGAGGTTGCAGTCTGGTTGCGAGCACCTTTGTAAACAGTTTTGTGTCAACGTTTAAGAGGGATATTGGGCGGTAGCCGCCGCAGTTCATTGGGTCCTTTCCTGGTTTGAGAAGTACTGTTAAGGTCGCGGGCCAAAGCTTTCGCCGTCTGCCACAGCGTTTAAAACTTTTGTGAGCCATGGCAGAAGCCTTCCAGCGAATTTCTTATAATAGCCCGTGGAGCAGCCATCTGGACCTGGAGCTTTGCCAGTTTTGGCACTTTTTAGTGCCGCTGCTAGTTTCTCCGTGCTGATAGGTGCTTCCAAGGCCGATGCTGAGTCCCGGTCAACAACCTCTGTGAGGTAGTTGTTCATAGTCTGGTTTTCGGACGGGTTTTGATCTTGTCTACCTGGTGCGGGGAGGTTGTAGAGGGCCTGGTAAAAGTTCTTGAACTCCTCTGCTATCTCCTGTGGGAATTGGGAGCTGGTGTGTGATGCAAGACATAATTTACGTATCTGGGTGTGAGGCACGTTGCATTTCAGGAGCCGTGCCAGGTATTTGCCTCCTTTATTAGCGTGGGCATAAAAGAAACCCTTTGAGTGTTGTAACGTGCGGAGGTGTTTTTTCATTATGAGATCTTTTAGTGCTCTTCTGGCCTCCATGAGTTCGCCATATATTGCATTGAGGAGGGATCGCTTGTGTTGTTGTTCTAGAGTCGAGATGGATTCATGAAACTCCGCCATCTTCCGAGTGGTTTCCTTTCTTTTCTGCGAAGCAATTCGAATGAGTTGTGGGGATATTTATGGGATGATAATATTAAACAGTCGAGAATTGCCCACTATTTCAATACTCTTAGATCTTAGAGATCGTTATCAAATAAGTGAAAAGTATTCCATAAATAAATCACAATCTGTTGTAAAAATAGATTTATTTTTATTGTAACAAATAATTAACAATAATATTAGGCAGCATGTACTATCAGTGAATATTTAGTACAACATAAGTATGCAATACAATGGAATGGCTATACACGTTTCAACGGCTACAGCACCAGCTGTCAAGACTTATACGATTTATGAGGTATCCTTAGAGACAAAAATTAAAGCTTTTCACAGCGAAGAGCCATACAACCCTGGCTAACAGTTAGATCAACTGAGTAACCCTTTCAATGCTGGCTGGATCCTCCTAGGCATATAGTATCCTATTCTCCTGTGATTTTCAATTAAACTAACATTTGAACCAGCTCATTAGTCATTTCCTGGAACCATCCAATAAGAATAATCTACCAGATTTTTACAAAAGCCGAATTTAATTTGTCTAAAAGATATCTTATATTTAGAGCAAATCAATACACCTGGATAAAAACAGCGGTATGCTAACACGTGATACTATCACATTAATATATAATTATTCTTAATTCTACCTGCAGAATGGAATGTTTATAACTATATATTCTTTAGTTAACTAAGATTTCTTAATATGGAAATCTGAGAGTGATTTATCCAGTCATATATCATGCTATTAGTAAATTTTAATTACTTTAAATTAATTAAATAAAACCAGCATAATTACCAGTTATGTAGATATTCTCATCAGATGAGTGGGTAGTACCAGAAACTTGATTGGTTGTATGGAAGTGCGTGAGTGATAGAAAAGGTATTAAAGAGTTTAAGAGTTTATGTCCAAGAGAGTTTAAGGGTAGAGTGTTAGTCCCAGATATTGTCCTGGATTTCTCTGCATGTGCGACTTAGAATCCCCAAACTTCAATTCATCTCTCTCTGTCTCTCAACTCCAACTCCAACTCCTCTGTCTTCCCTTTGTCCTAACGTTTAAAGGGCCAGACTCTCTGTACGTCATTAGTTGATAAACCAATAGGCAGCCGTAGGTGTGTCCAATCGATGGATCGCAATTTAGGTATTTGATCCATAGATGGCAGTCTCGTCTAATGAAACCTTCCTATCCAGGAAAGAGTTAACTTTTCCTGATGACGATTTTGACGTCATTTGGCTTATCTAAAATGACTACCATAACTTAGATTTGCTGTCAGTTCAAAGCATTTGTCTCAGTCTTTGTGGCAACTACTTTGGTCGTAACTTGTAAAATTGACAGTTCTAAACTCAATTTAACCCCTTACTACAATGGAACCTTGTAAAATTTAGAAAGTCAAGTTAATTACTTAGTCTTCTCTGTCACTAGTGTATGTGTTTAGATAATTGCATCTATTCCATTAACATTTAGACAGAGCATTCCACCCCCCTTGCTTATCTTGGTTTGTTTATGTAACGCATTCCTTAGTGGTTAGTGAAAGTAAGAAGAAACTAAGGAAATTATGTGTTTTTGTTATCCTGAAGATAGCAAAATGGAGTCTGCTTTGTTCTGAATGGCTGTGGCAATATACACTTTTAATTTCTTTTTAGCACAAAATGTCTGTTAATATAAATATTCTGACAGAGTGTTCCCCGAATTACACTCTTGTGTGCCTCCCAGATGGTGACAGGTGATTTTTCCTCCTGGTCATTTTCTTGGAAATAGTGGTCTAGCGCCTTGTCTATTTGTTACCGGGTCCAGGAGCAGTGCTTCGTTTAGCCTCCAGGTCCAAGTGGAGGGTCGAAACAGTGGAGATTTCAGGTCTATTCTGACCGGGCCGTGATCCGACCACGTGGCTGGCTCAATAGTAGCCTTTAATAAACGTGAGAGGCCCTCTTGCCTGATGAAAAGATAGTCGATTCATGCGTACCGGTTATGAAGGGCAGAGTAGTGCGTATAGTCTTTGCTGGAGGGATTAAGGGTCCTTCAGCAATCAACTAGGCCCAGGTCGTACAATGAGTGTCGGATGGATCTGATGCATCGCTGGGGTATGCAGCTATGTCCCGAAGAGGAGTCCAAAGTTGGGTCTAGGGGTGTATTAAAGTCACCCCCCGCTATTAGCACACCTTCCGCAAACTGCTGAAGTTTAGCCAACGCACCTTTGAGGAATGAGGCTTGGCGCCTATTGGTGACATAGATCATCGCAAGTGTGTGTATCTTGTCCGCTAGGATTCCCTTCAGGAAGAGGAAGCCTCCCTGTGTGTCTTGGACTCGTTCCAGTTCCTTGAATTCGAGGTGCGCTGCTATTATGATCGCTACTCCAGATTTGCAGGCTGAGGGGTGGTTGCAAAGATAGTTGGTTGGGTAGGCCCTGTCGCGCAGATGGGGCGCTGCTCCTTCTTTAAAATGTGTTTCCTGAAGCATAGCAATCGCAATATGCTTTTTCTTCAGTTCCCTCAGCAGATATGTTCTTCGTTCTGGGATATTCAGGCCTCTGCAATTGAGAGTTAGGACAGACAATGGCACTTAGCGGTATGCCATCCCCCCCTTATGGGCCATCGTCCCTTCTGTACCAGAGATACGGTCTCAAGTTCTCGGGGTCCCCCGATTCCGTGGCAGGCACCCACAGAGTTCGACAAACAAAGAAGGGATAAGTGAAGAGGAGGAGGGGTGTGTGGGGGCAGAGGTTGGTAGGTGAGGTTAGGAAGGTTGCGAGTGTGAGTCGTGTGGTGTATATATGTGTAGGTGGGGAGTGCGCCTCAAGGGCAAAGATCCCCCCGGGATTAATGGAATCCCGTATCAGGTCCCCTCCGTCAAGGGGTGCTCATGCAGCAACCAGAGTCGTTGGGACCTCACCGCGGTAACCAGCCCGGAGAGCGATGATCCCCACGGTCTAGCTACGAAAAGATTAGCACGAGTGTATGTCGGGTATCGCAGCCCTTGCTCTGCCCAAGGAAAAGACATCAAGAGAGATTCAAGTCGGCCCGCTACACCTCACCCCATTCGAGGCGTTTCACATATTGCAACATTTGTCATTCCTATTTTTTTTTTTATTCTTTATTTTTGTGGTGCATTTAGTTAATACAGTCGCTTGTTGTGCCACAATAGCAATAACAAGTAGAGTGGGTGACATTGTTTAAACAGGCTTGTGGCTTAGAGAGGTACTGCACACATTTTTTTTTTTTAACAGATAGATAAACAGGAAATTCCCCTGGGCTTCATAAAAACAAAAGGTAACATTTCTTGGCTAACAGAGAAGCATCGCCCAGTAGTCACAATAAAAGGAAAACAGGCTAAGACATGGAATTGCATGACTGAGCTAAACACATCTATTGCGGTGTCTGCCTATGCAGAGTCATTATGTTGATGTAATTTTAAATGTGCTATACTGGGTGAAAATACGATAAGCCTCAAGGAGATAACCATGGTATAAAGGCTAGTTCCTCATGTCTAAGCTATAGAACTTGTTTTGGTAGCTCAGAGAGGCTGGCTAGGCATGAGGGGTAAAACACGATAATAAAACGTTGCTTGTCATGCTTATGTTTCGAAGGTATGGAGCCATCTCTACATGGCTCACTATGTTTAATGCAATATATGTGTAAATAAGAGTCAAGCGGGCATTAGCTATTAAAGTAAAGAGTCACTGGTAACGTTCTGTCCATACGGTAGCAACTAAAGAAAAATGTTATGGTTACTTGATGCGGGTAGTCCGCACATCGATGGTTGTAAGCGCGCCCTCCAGATGCAGGTGAGGCATGTCCACTTGAGGGGCACAGAGGTAGGCCTTTAGCCGATGCCCGTTGCATGGACGTGTATCTTGCCGTCGACCTTTGTCTCCTCGAAGGCGCCCCTGGACTGGGACTCCGCTCCAGCAGCATTCAGTGGAGTGTTTAGCTGTGCGTCTCCCCGGTTTGCGGTTGTAGCTTGGAGGGACGGGGTCAAGCTCCGCCGAGCGCCGGTCCTCGGGTCAGGTGAGTAGCTGGCGTGGAAGACTGGTTTAATGGTCTTTGTCTCCTTAATGTGGGGGCAGGTGCGGTCGCCCATGTAACATGGCGTTGTTTCCCGCCCATGAGAATGGCGGTGTTTACGTAGCCTGGCGGCCTTCCCGGATGCCTGTGGTGGGTGTCTATAATGGCGCCGGCGGGTCACTGGACGAATCCATGTAGCCACTAGTTTTACTGCCCGGCGGTAAGCCATTCCGCGTTCGCGCAGCATAGTCCAGAGGCTCTCGCAAAGCTGGTCAAATTCCCACAGGGGGTGCGTGGATGGTTGGGCGTATGTGCTCCGCTTTTGGGGTCCTCGCTGGGCGGCCATTTTAGCTGCGTCCTAGTGGCCTGGTGGTTGCTGGAGCTGTGCCGGCCTTGTGGGACAGTTCCCGCTTTGGTTTTGCCGCTGTGTCTCAAGCTTGAAATACCGGGATATCCCTCACCTGCAGGGGGGGGGGGAGGAAGTGTACCGGGGAGACCTCCGAGTGAAGGGCTGCAGGCGGCGTGGATATCAGTCGTCTCCCTCGCTTTGTCCGAGTAGGCCTTGGGTCTATCCCCGGTTAGATGCCTCCGATTTCGGTCGGGATAGTTGTCGCTGGGTTCTGCATTTAAGTGCTCACTTCCCTAGGTCGTCTAATCGTCGATTTGGTGGAATTTTGCCCAAATTTGGGCTGATTAAGAGCGTTTTTGCACGGAGCTTGTCTCATGTGCGACCTCTCAGCATGGCAGCTTGGCCCCGCCCCCCTGTCATTCCTATTTTTATGTACATATTAAAGGTCATAACATTGTGAAAATATAAAAACAAAACTGAAACTAACATTCTCCCCTTCACGTCCCGGATACATCAGTCAGATCCATTTCACATTTTCCTCCCCCCCCCCGCTTTAGCCATGTTAACTATCTCCCCCAGTTAGCCCTGTCCTTTACCAGGTAGGTCCCATTCTATGTCCTCTCTCCCTACTCTTCCAGCTCTCCATCTGCGCGGTCTCTACTTTATAATGTGATGTTTCTGCCATGAGTGTAGTGACCTGACGTCATTGCGTGTTTGTCAGGTGACAGGGAGGTGTGTGCCTTTTAGGTCCAGTGGAGTACATTCCCTTCCCACATAGGTCTGTCCCTGTATGTTACGCGATAAAAGTTTTGTCTTTCCTGTACTATGTTCAATCACCCTTTCCCGGTCTATAGTCTTAGTGGGGTTGTTAACATGTGATTAGCGTTATTTGGGGCCCATAGCTACTTCGTCCTCCCCCGTCTCCCTGGTGGGGTCCCCCTTCCCGGGAGGCAGTCTTGTATTTAGGGGTGCTGTCCTATGCGGTTGCCTTGGACCCTCACCATCCCTGTCTGTCCGCGTTTTTACTCGTTACCCCACCCTTCCTAGAAGTAGACATTGTCGTCGTCCCCTGCCCCCCCTCCACCTCGACCCTCCTGAAATTTGGGTAGTGACCGAGAGGTAGGTAGTGTTAACACATTTTTCATATATATGCAGTAGTGTTGCAGTTTAGACATAATACATTCAGGCAGTCTCATTAGTAATTAGAACGGCGGGTGGGGATGGTCCCTGGTATGGAAGCAAATTGAACACCAACTTGAAGGGGGTCATGTGGGACCATGTCATGGTGTCATTCCTGCTCATCCCCCGGATCTGGGGTGGCCCCCTTGTATACCGCAGTCCCAGAGGTCGGGGAGCTGGTGTCCTATAAGTTGCCCAGGCAGAGCCACCGCTGTGTCTACAGCATTGAGTCTGCTGGTTTGGGTCTCCGCCGCCTGCTCCAGCGTGGTGATGCGACTCGCCTATGAGGCGACTTCAGAGCGGATCCCCGCCATCTCTGCCCTCAGTGTGTCCTGGATGGTGGAGGTGAGTTGTTGCAGGTCCGCTTTGGTAGCCATATCCCCTATCCTTTCCAATGCGGTGTTATCTGGGCCCGGCGGGGGTGTCGGCGCCATCTTGGGGCATCCAGTTTATATACATTTTGAAAGAATAAAAGTCATATTTGAATAAGAAGCTAACTTATATCCTTAATAAGAAGCTGGCCGAATAATTGGCTAACTTCAGCAACATATGTAGTTCTTTGTTGCAATGGTTACCACTGACCAGGGCCGCCATCAGGGCATGACAACCATAACGGTTGTCATGGGCACAGCGGTCCTGGACTGCTCAGGTCGTCCCGGGCCCCACATTCAGTGGCGTACATACCGGGGTCGCAAGGGGCCCTGTGACCCGGTATGTACCCACTGTGGCCAGCCTCTTCTCCTGGGGGGCCCAGCAACCGGTCACCTCAGGGCCCCCCGAGGCTGGCCCTGGTTTCACCGGGCTGGCGGGCGTGCGAGGGAGCAGCTCCATCGCGCACCGCACTGATGCCGGAGCCGGAAAATGACGTCATATTCCGGCTCTGGCATCAGTACGCGGCGTGCAAGGGAGCTGAACAGGAAGCACTCAAGGGAGAGTGCTCCCTCGCGCGCCCACCAGCCAGCCAGCCCGCAGGACCGGCTGCCGGGTGACACCACTGGACCCCAGGGAATCCCCTCAGCACTCCCAAAGGTAGGGAGGCTGGGGGGATGAAATTTAAAAAGAACAAAAACGTGTGTGTGTTACTGTGTGTGTGTGTTAGAGTGTGTGTGTGTTAGAGATCGTGTGTTAGTGTGTCTGTTAGTGAGTGTGTGTTTTGTGAGTGTGTGTATGTCTGTCACTGAGTGTGTGTCTGTCAGTAAATGTGTGTGTCTGTTAGCTAGTGTGTATGCGTCTGTTCGTGAGAGTGTGTGTGTGTGTGTGTCTTAAGCACTTACCTTTCTCCAGCGCCGGACTCCCTTGGAGCTGGGGATCTCTCCGCCCTGATCCGCCTCTCAGCTCCGAATGCGCATGCGCGGCAAGAGCCGCGCGCGCATTCAAGCCGCCCATAGGAAAGCATTACTCAATGCTTTCCTATGGACGTTCAGCGTCTTCTCACTGTGATATTCACAGTGAGAATCGCGGAAGCTCCTCTAGTGGCTGTCAATGAGACAGCCACTAGAGGCTGGATTAACCCTCAGTGAAACATAGCAGTTTCTCTGAAACTGCTATGTTTTCAGCTGCAGGATTAAAACTAGAGGGACCTGGCACCCAGACCACTTCATTCAGCTGATGTAATCTGGGTGTCTGTAGTGGTCCTTTAAGTGTGTCTGCAGGCACTGGCATACATACTGCAGTCGCAGGGTGCCCGCCGCCATGTATTGTGGCCCCAGCCCGCGCAGAGTAAGCGCGCGAGGGGGGGCCCACGGATCAGTTTTCGCACCGGGCCCCATGGGTTGTGTGTACGGCACTGCCCACATTAGCTATGTGCACACATATATAGCGATTAACGCTCCGCACGGCTCGCGAGACTTCGACAGAGCAAAGCATCTGGGCAGTATATTTCAAATGTGCTGGGCCCCCTGCAGAATACAGGTAGCAGGGGCTGCACCATTCCTCAAGACCTCCGGCTCCATGGCTCCAGCTAATGTGATCTCCCCCCTCCATGGCCACAGGTGAGATACAGGGAGGGGGGAATAAAACAATACAATTAATGGATGGGAAAAAAAACTGTAGGCTTTCCCCCCCACATTTTGCAGCCCCATACATTTACACACACTATTCACTAACATTTACACACACTTTACACTAACATTTAAACACACTATACACTAACATTTACACACACTATTCACTTACATTTACACACACTATTCACTAACATTTACACACACTTTTCACTAACATGTACACACACTTTTCACTAACATTTACACACTATTTACTAACATTTACACACACACTATTCACTAACATTTACACACACTATTCACTAACATTTACACACACTATACACTAACATTTACACACACTATGCACTAACATTTACACATACTATTCACTAACATTTACACACACACTATTCACTAACATTTACACACACTATGCACTAGCATTTACACACACTATTCACTAACATTTATACAAACTATACACTAACATATACACACAATATTCACTAAAATTTACACACACTACATCCTTACACATACACTCTGCAGTCACTACACGAACTACATCCTTACACAAACACACACTCTGGAGTCACTATACAAACACACACACACTACATCCTTACACAAACACACACTCTGCAGTCACTACACACACTACTTCCTAACACTAACACACACACACACTTTGTAGTCACTACACACAACTACATCCACTACACAAACACAGTCTGCAGTCACTATACACACATTAAATACTTACACAAACACACACTCTGCATTCACTATACACATCGCATTTAATACACACAAACACTACATCCACTACACAAACACACATACACACCCTGAATTCACTATAAACACACACTACACAAACTCACACTCTGCATCTAATATACACCTCATACATTACACAAATGTACAATCTGCATCCACTATACACACTGCATCCGTTAAACACACACCGCATCCACTTAACACACATTCTACATCCACTATACACACACCAGAATCAGTACAGACACTGCATCCCTGTGGGCGGACTCATGGGGCGGCACTTTGGGCGGTCTCAGGGGGTCCCAAACCTTGAGCTGTGTCAGAGACCCCAAAATTTCTGATGGCAGCCCTGCCACTGACCCTAACTTATCTGTGTAATGTTGGTGATTACTTCTTACATTATTCCTTACTTTACAGAAATTAAAGGCATTTGGCGCTAGATGGTCACTTTGTATTTTTGATTTGTTCTCTTTTTGAGTAGTATTGAGGTATGGTGCAACTATTTAAACCTGATTTATGTTTTTTTTATATCATACACCAACTCTAGTATGTCTGCTACAAGATCAACACAACAATTTTGCTCTTGATCATTAATTTGGAGGAACCAGGTCACTCTTGGTCCATAACCACTGACATTACTCTGTAGTTAGCTGGTAAATCTACCAGTTTGGGTTTATTAGCCAATGCAGTTACATTGTGGGAGGCAGTTTTGTAAACTGTGCGCACAACGCTACATTCCAGAATTCTCCCTCGCTCTCTGCTCAGCTCGTTCTCTATTACTTCAGCAAATCTCAGATACCACGACTTTGCACACATAGCACTTTGACAGTCTCTGGTGTTTATAACTCGAAGCCTGAACTACATCCCCCGACATGCTTATCCTGTGGGCGGAGCCAAACATGGCTCGCCGGAAGTCACGTGCTAGGGCCAGCACCAATCGCGTTTGAATGTGTTCCTTCTCTTTTTTTTTTTATTATTTTCTCCTCTCCTCCTTCTCTTGCCTGCCAGCGGCTGCTGTGCAGTCACATCCATCTAAAATGGCGACCGTGGAACCGGTGAGTGAATGCGTGATCTGACTAGATCTAATAAAGTCGCTGGCAGGGGCTGTGATATCGCGGGATGAGTGTCTATAAAGGGGATATTGAGGGCGGGGGAGGGATTGGAGCCGCCTGGTGTGAGGGAGAAGCGGCCGGCCGGTGTGTGACATGAAGCAGACGGCAGCACTCTGCCACACTCTCCGCCTCGCTGGCGGCTCTCATTATACAAAGAGGGGGGAGGCGCGCGGTGCGGCCGCTGCTCACACAGAACCCTCCGGCTCGGTTCGATCTCTCGCTGAGGGCGTTCGGGAGAAGGTTGTAGTTCGATGGGGCCCCGTGCCGAGGACAGCCGCGCGCGCGCCCCCATCCCCTCCCCCTACCTCCTCGAGCCCTCCGTCTACTAACTACGGACTAGTGGGCGCGCGTGCGTGTATGTGAGCGCAAGAGAGCTGGTCACGCGGGCGGCAGTTGAGAGAGGGCCGCGTGGCGGAGCAGGCAGACGGTTTGAGGAGGTGGGGGGAGTTCTGTACTTGGAATGTTTGCTTTCCCAAGCAGAGTGGGTGCTGAGTTAGCGTTCAGACCTGGCTACACGGTTACAATAGATCGCACGGCCCGGCCCCCTCCCCTCACACTGTCTGTGTTCGATTGATAAGTTAGAGGTCGCTAGTGATGGCTCAGGCTTCCTGCTATCTCCTTCCGCCCCAGCTCGCTCATTCAGAAAAGTAACTCCATGTGCTGTGCGTGCTGCCACTTCCTTATCCCACCAGAGATCGGCTCTCCCCGACTAAGGCCTCACAATGAATGACTTGGACAATGTGAGTTCTGCAAGAAACCATGTTTAAAGTCATGACACCGGATTTCTATTATAATAATTATTATTATTTTTTTTTTTTTTTAAACTACGTACCTCTAACATATGGGCCGGGGGGGGCATCGTTGATGGGGTGTATTGAAGGAGGGGGTGGTTCTTCGTCGTTCTATGCCTATAATTGGTTTCATGTGCACTCTAAATATTGTTTACCAACAAACCTCCTTGGAATTTGGAGACGAAATCTTTTTGTGTATTCGAAATGTTTTGAATAGGCGCAGCAGCATGAAGCTATAATGTTTCTGCATTTATGCACGGTTTTATGGCTTTTGTTTAGTAAGGAACACTCCAGACCATCCAGCTTGCTGTAGTGCTTTGTGTGATGAGGGTGATTTTATTTTAGCGAGCGTGCAGATTTCATTAGAAGTTACTAATTTTATAAATGCATCATGATAGTCCATTTACTACTGCCTGTTTATTTTAATTTTTTTTGCCAACTCAAGTGGTAAACTGTCCATAGCACCATCCTTGCAAATCATTTTCACTAAAGGCTTAAAGGACCACTATAGGCACCCATACCACTTCAGCTTAATGAAGTGGTCTGAGTGCCAGGTCCAGCTAGGATTTAATCTGCCTGCTGTAAACATAGCAGTTTCAGAGAAACTGTTTACAAATGGGTTAATCCAGCCTCTAGTTGCTGTCTCATTGACAGGCGCTTCCGTGCTTCTCACTGTGATTTTCAGTGAGAATGCTTTCCTATGGACTGGCTGCACGTGCGGCTCTTGCCGCTCATGCACATTCAGCTGATGACGACCGGAGGAGTCCCCAGCGCCGAGGGAGCCCGGCGCTGGAGAAAGGTGAGTGTTTAATCCCCTTCAACCCGGCGGGTGGGGGCACCCTGAGGGCACTATAGTGGTACTTTAAGGCAACACCTTGGGGGGTCGGAGAGGCTTTTCTGTTTTAAATTGACCAGTGGGAGTGGCATTGACGGAGGGAAGATGTTATTTTACTAATTTCTTTAAAGGGGTACTATAGTACCAGGAATACATAGCTGTATTCCTGGCACTATCGCTGACCCTCCCTCTGTCACGCAGTTTCTCTGGAACTGCAATGTTTAACACTGGAGCACTAAGGTCAATAGGGACACAGTACCCAGACCACTTTAATCAGATGAAGTGGTCTGGGTGCCTACAGTGTCCCTTTAACGGCAGAGGAGAAAGCTAGATTCCCTTTGCAGGTGTTAAAACAGATCACTTTTAATGCATATGATTGACATTGGTAGGCCGGAAAACCCATTGGAAACCCACAGAGTCAGGGCTGGTATAGAAGGGGAGAACTTCCCAAGCCTCAAGGGGGGAGATCTGCAGTTTTTGCAAGCTGTTTTCAGATATGTCCACAATGAAAAATATGTATATTAAATGCAAGTATGTTTTAATTGGGCATATAATCTATTTGAGTGTTTTTTTGGGGGGATGGGGGGTGTTTAACACTTTTTTCATTAAGAATTTACCTCTTACTGTGTTAGCATGCAACAGGCTCATGTGTATGATTAAAGCTCAATTAAAGCAGGACATAAGAACCTCTAAAGTAAATGTGCTGTGAAGATTTGAGAGTCCCAGTCAGCAGGGGATTGGCTAGGGCTGCATAAACAGTGCTTTAACTCCTAATTGTCACAAAAGTGAACTGTGAGACTGCAGGGGCATGATTATATATACTAGTATCATTTTAAACATGACTATTTTCAGTCTAGATTTCACTTGCTCTGTGGCAGCAGACATCTTTAGTTCTTATTGTCAGAACATGTATTTCCCTAGACCACGTTTAACCCCTTAAGGACCAAACTCCTGGAATAAAAGGGAATCATGACATGTCACACATGTCATGTGTCCTTAAGGGGTTAAAGGACCACTTTGGGGACCAGAGCAACTTCTTTGCAATGAAGTTATTATAGTGGGTAATTTTTTTATCTTAAAGGAGCACTATAGTGCCAGGAAAACAAATGTTTTTTTGGCACTATAGGGTCATTAGGTGTCCCCCCTTTAGCCACTTACCTTTCTCCAGCACCGGGCTTTCTATGTGCTGCTGAACTCTCCACCCCCTGCCGACGTCAGATCCGAATGCGCATGCACAGCAAGAGCCGCACGGGCTTTCAAACAGCTCATATGTAAGCATTACTTAATGCTTTCCTCTGGACGTCCAGCATCTTCTCACTGTGATTTTCACAGTGAGAATCTCGGAAGCGCCTCTAGCGGCTGTCAATGAGACAGCCACTAGAGGCTGGATTAACCCTCGGTGAAACATAGTAGTTTCTGTGAAACTGCTATGTTTTCAGCTGGAGGGTTACAACTAGAGGGACCTGGCACCCAGACCACTTCATTGAGCTGAAGTGGTCTGGGTGCCTATAGTGGTCCTTTAAGGAATAAAACCATTAATGAACAGCTTACCAAAGTTTGGCACCTGATATATCTGTTCGTCGGCTTCCTATTTGAATCCTCGAAATTCAGAGGAGGTGAATGAGCAAAGGGCACTGCCCTCTAGACTCTGTGGTTAGGTTAAAGGAACACCATAGGGTCTGGAAAACAAACCTGTATTTCTGACCCTATAGTGTTTAATCCATTATTTAGGTGACTTAGCCCCCTTAGAAAAGGTTAAAACTTACCTTATTTCCAGCGCTGTGCGAGTCTGCTGACTATGACCCCGCCGCCCATCCGCCTTCTTGGTTACATCATAATTTCAGATTATTTTTTTCTGCCAATCAAATGCTTTCCCCTGGGGAAATCATTGGATTGGAAAAGACCCGCAGTATGTAAGCACTATTAGTGATGGAACACTAAGTTTAGCTGCACTGAACCACAGTGACACAAAAATGTATACACAGATAACAATATTACCAAACTAAGTGCATGGGGTGATAGGGCTCTGGTACATGTGAGTGCTACCCCTTACTGTACACTGTACTATTCAGATAGTCTGCGCTATGTTTGTCTTTATTATTCATTTCCAGACTGGTTGTCACGCTTATTTTGCTTATAGTAAATCATTGGATTGTCTTAAATTGGCATGGGACGGGGCCAAATGCCATTTTGGCTAATCATCACCTCATCACAGCGATGCATTGGATCATTGCATATCTGTGAGGACAATTCAGCGTCTCCATGCAGAGTGTGGATACGCTGAACGACACTGTGCCTCGGGAAGCCCCTTCAGTGGCCACCTGGAGGTGTCCCTAGAGGGAAATGTAAACCACTTTAAATCTACACATTTGTATACTTGAGCTTTTAAATATTACAAGACTTTTAGGAGACAGGGGAAGCATGATGGGAGCAATGTTAAAAGAAAGCTATGCGTCAAAATCTATGCTTGTTGTATAGGTTATAGTGCAAAGTCACTGTATGCTTGCAAAGTTGTTAGACAGCAATTTCCAAAAACTGAATCTTTAAAGGGTTACTCCAACCACCATGACAACTTCCGCTTTTAGAAGTTGTCATGGTGGTTGGAATATATATGTATAGCATTTATGCTTGAAACTGCACATACAGATAATTATGTGCAAACAGGTCTGTCTCCTTCTCCACTTGTAGGTAGTGATTCTGGACAGCCACTAGAAGCACTTCCTGTCGTTTCACAGAGTTATCTGAAAAGACAGTGTTTACATAAAATTGCATGAAGGGAGCTATTATACTCACCAGAACAACTACATTAAACTGTAGTTGTTGTGACTATATTATCGCTTTAAATAATATCTTAGCCAGGTTTAAACTAATGAATTGATTGTTCCAGACATAGATGAAAGCTTTGTGTAGGATCTGTAAAGTCTGCATTGGTAAATATTTTCAAGCAGATGTGTAAAACATGTTTACTTAACAAGGGTGTTTGCTCATTTATTTATTTTTTTTGTTTTTTTACTATGCCTATTTTTAATACTATTTGTAGGGAATGATAACATTCATTTATCCAAGGACACACTTTTGTTGGCTGTCAGACTGGAGGCATTTTTCTGAAATGCACACTATAGGCACATAGATCGCTTCTGATAGAAGTGGTCTGTGTGCAGTGCCCCTAGCGTTTTGCTCTTGCAATGTTAAACATTGCCATTTTTGAGATACGACTGTGTGAAACACACCTCTAGGGGGCTGTCTCTCTGATAGCCACTATATGGTGCTTCTACACCCACAACAGTCAGACTTTGTTGTTGATGTTCAATGTCCCGACGCATTGTGTTAGAACGAACATCCTTCAATGTTTGAGAAGCATTTTATTGGCACCTCGCGTATTAAGTCCACATTGCTTCTCTGATAGGATTGGAGGGGCCTGTGAATGCAGAGAAGAGGCTGTTTGGGCACTGGATTCCAGTTAGGTAGCAGTTTAATTTAATTAAATGACCACTATAGGCACCCAGACCCCTTCAGCTCAATGAGGGTGCCCGGTACCTCTAGTTTTAACCCTGCAGCTGAAAACCTACCAGTTTCAGAGAAACTGCTTTGTTTCACTGAGTCTAATCTGTGAGACAGCTGCTAGAGGTGATTCTCACTGTGAAAATCACAGTGAGAAGACTCTGGACTTCCATAGGAAAGCATTGAGTAATGCTTTCCTATAGGCAGTTTGAATGCGCGTGCCGTTCTTGCCGCGCATTCGTATCTGACGTCGGCAAAGGGTGGGAGGGACTTAATGACCCTATAGTGCCAGGGAAACAAGTTGGTTTTCCTGGTGCTATAGTGGTCCTTTAACCTTTTTCACAATGTAATAATATATAAAAAAGGTTAAAATTGAAGAATAATGCTCCAATCACCCCGTGTGTGTGTGTGTGTCACTCAAACCACAGAGTGAAACATTAAAAGTGAACTAGAAAAGCTATAATTTCTGGGGAAATTGTGTGAAGTGTTCTTGCCTCCACCAGTAGTCTACAACTGGAGTGGGCGGAGTAACTGGGTGGAGTGGCTTGAGTAACTTTATGGAGTGGGCAAAGTAACTGTGTGGAGTGTATGGAGTGGGCAAAGATAGTAAACATTACACTAATCAATTGATCAAATTTAAAAAGTGCACATGGCAAGCTTGATAGAGTGAGAAATGCATTTCAACTTTTATTTATTTATATAGCACATTTAATTCCAACGTTGTTGCCCAAAGTGCTTCACAGTTACATTAAAACATACATTTATAAAAACATTAGCAGGTGTACAAAAGGCCCTGTTTATGACATCACTTGCTGCTGCAGCCTGACACAGGTCAGAGTATTTTGGCGGTTGCCATCTTCAAACGGTCGTGTCTTTAAAAACTATAAATCCTACAGCAAAAAGCTTTATATTGTGAGAATCACAAGACCCAGACCTGATGCATAGTATGTCTCTGAAGTATTAAAAATTAAGGCACAGTCGCAGTTTAGAAATTGCCCTTCAAGTTTGAGCTGGCTAGAGTGAAGTTTCAATGAATGTAAATGGACGGCGTGAGTTGCAAACAAATGGTCATATTGTGAAATCTATCAGGACTATGGCTTAGCCGTGGACATGTGTAGTGGCAGCAGAGATAGCTTGTGGGAGTGGTGGCAGTTTAGAAATCATGTCCTGATTTTTCAGCTTTTAACAGCTCCCACTCTAGTTTTGAACATTTTGCCATTCATTCCTATGGGACCAATTTCGCCACAAGAACGACGCTATTCTATGAACCATTCTGCGAAACGTTCCACAAAGTAATAGCAATCCAATCGGGAACAATCCGCACGTTTTGGTATATGTTTCTGTCAATGTAGTGTAAAAACTGTGGGGGGAGTTAGGGTGGTAAATTTGATAATAAGAATAATATATATGTGAGAACATTAAGTGGTCTTGCTATGCAAGAACACTTAATAAAATGGTAAAAAGATTTTCTTGGTAAACTCACTTGAGATTTTATGACCAGTGCTTTTGTGTAAACCTAAAATCCCTAATACATTTGTTGTATCAGATTCTTGTGAATTCAATGAAAATCCAAACAGTCAATGAGCTAATATGAGGAGTCTCAAAAAGAATGTTTAGTTTAAATGCTACAGTGCATTTTTTTTATAAAAATTTATTTTTTAGGAAACCACTGCCAATATTGAAACTACAGAAGAGGAGAAAACGACTGGCCAGGAGCTTGTAAACCCTGAGCACTACATTAAACATCCACTACAAAACAGGTAAGAAAAAACACAATTTCCAAAAACATTTCATTGCTTTTAAAATATTTTGTCTTAAATGATGTCTTTAAAGGGGCACTTAATCATAGATTCTACAGCTTATTGTAGAAGCTTTGTTGCAAGGATGCTTCCTCCATATTTTACCGATTATTTAAAACATTTTTTAAAAATTTTTTTGTAACTGTTTTTCAGAGACGACACCGCAGCAGCAATTTATTGTGAACCTCCAGTATATTGTCAGTTGTTTAACCAAAAAGCAATTTATCTAAACCAGTTTCATTTTTACATTCTAACGTCTACAATAAGATGTAGTGGTTGAAGTCTCCATATTCAAAGGAACACATCAGCTACCCACTGTAGTGCTTTTGGTGCCAGGAGTTCCCGGGCACTCTCCAAAATAAGTAGTTAAACACTTCAAGAAATTTTTGATAACTTGATTCCTGCCATTGAGCTGACTGTACAAGTTAGTACTAATTGGAGAGTGCATCGCTAACTGCAAGCTTCTTGCAAGAGCTTTTGGCAGCAGGTGGTTGCTTAATCTTGTCTGAAATTGGTAGAAGAGGGTGTGATATAAATTACCTATTGTCTATGTAATATAGAATGCACACTGCATTCTATATTACATAGATATTTGGATATTTGTAACATTTGATATACTTGGTCTCTCTGTGTGCTTTTTGGTTTGTGTATAAATTACCCATTGAGCATTCGATAATGCAGCTGTTTCTAAATTTACAGTTTGGTATTATTAAATGTCGACCATGAATATTGTGTTGATGCTATAGTAGTCTTTTAGTAACAATACAAGCTTAATCTACACTTTGTGTTGGCTATTCGTCTAGCATATATACTTGCCTAATCTTTTTTTAATTTTGTGTGCATCTGCAATCCAACAATTACAATAAGCCTTACCTCAAATCATTGTACTGATTGAGCATTTGCATTATGATGTTGTAAATGATTTGTAAGTATTTACAAATGCACACTCGGCCACTTCACAAGAATAATTGTACTTTAACGCCTTAATGACATTGGGACGTTACATTATGTCTTAATTATAATGGTCTTTAATGGAACACTATAGGGTCAGGAACACAAACATATATTCCTGACCCTATAGTGTTAAATCCACCATTTAGGTGGCTTGTCCCCTTAGAAAAGGTGAAAACTTGCCTTATTTCAATTGCAGCGCTGGCCCTGCCCCGATCCGCCTCTTTGACATCATCAGAATTGCCGATTTTTAGCCAATCCAATGCTTTTTTAATCAATGCATCTCTGAGGAAAATTCAAAGTCTCCATGCAGAGCGTGGAGACGCTTGAACGCAGTGCTGTCTACTATGCAGCACTTCTCCAAGAAGGATCTCCAGTGGTCATCAGAGAAGTGGCCACTTGGAGGTGTACCTAGAGGCAGTGTAAACACTGCCTTTTCTTTGAAAAGGCAGTGTTTGCATGAAAATGCCTGAAGGCAATGATTATACTCACCAGAACTACATTAAGCTGTAGTAATTCTGGTGGATATAGTTTCCTTTTAATGACAAGTCCTGCAGATTTGGTGTGTGCAGGATTAAACCAGAAATCAATGGATATCTGGGGCTCCCCTCGGTCATATGGAGCGATTGTTGTCCCGATTATGTCTACTTTTGCAAATTGTTTGCATTTATTAAGTAATATTAAATGTGTGCTAACAAAATGGGCAGTTTATTAATTATTTTCACAAAACACTTGGCAATCATAGATGAAGAGGGTTCATTTTGTAACTGAGAGATATAGTTGAGAGGAATTTTATTTTATTTTTTATTACAGTAGCACATATAAAGCTTACAAAATATACCACCAATTTGTGTATAGGTGCATGTAAAAAAACAAAATATAAACTCTGAAAGAAATTGATGCTTAAATGGCGGTATAAGGCTCAAAATATACCATATGACATGTCCCTTGCTGTCTACTTTCACAAATGGTATGCATTTATTGGGTAATTTTATCTCCAAAAGGGCATAAATGGGTTAAATCTGTCTTTAAATTTCACTTTGAAATGCTGCACAGTGGTGATGGTGGTTGAAGTAAACCTTTCATAGAAACTTTAATGACTAGGTTGCCATAATGACTCATTATGGTAACATAATTTTGCATAAGAATGTATTTGTGATGATCTATGTAGTTGAAATGAGTTAAAGTAACAACACTTTTTTTTTATTATTTTGCAGATGGGCCCTTTGGTTCTTTAAAAATGACAAAAGCAAAACTTGGCAGGCTAACCTTCGCCTAATTTCAAAGTTTGACACTGTTGAAGATTTTTGGGCGTAAGTATTTATTCGGGGCAGGGGTGAATTTCATGGTTTTCTCTAGGAGCTGCCATTCACATTTTTAAGACCTATTTTTTGATTCATTATATACTTTGCACTAGAAGGCAAAGAAGTTTATTTTATTTATTTTGATATTTTTAATAATAAGGGGGGGGGACCTATTGTCCTCCCCCAGCCCCCACCATGAGTGGCAGGTGGGGGCCCTAAATGAAAATGGGGGTAAGGGGAACTGCCTATTGTCCTTCCCGCTGCTCCCACCCATGGGCGGCAGTGCTTGGATTCCAAGCCAACCAATCAAATTACTTGGAGTCATTTTACACACCGTGGGAAAATTCCAAAGAACTTTCCCACGCTGTGTAGTGACTAGCACTCTGGTTGGATTCCAAGCCAACCAATTGTGGGAAGGCTTTATAAGAGTCCTGCGGAGCTCAGTCTGCGTCGTGCCCTTGCCGGGTGAAGATGGTTTAATTTTTAGCGTTGGTTTGTTTTATTTCCGGCGGATTCCGGGGCTGCTCACTGTTTAGTAGACATGTCCCTACTTGCGGCATAGCGAGTAGAGGCATTTGGGAGATTTCATTCTCCCTTATGATATTATGGGGTTCATATTGACCCCCATAGTGAGGTAGGACATGGGGGACTTAGGAAGTGGCAGGGAGGGAGCTGCGATATTCGATGTTTGTTTGTTCGTCTGACATTTCTATTCATTCGTCTTGCTGATAACAAGTAGATGAAATTCCTGTTTGCATGCCCAAGTGTTTAACTGGGCATGCGCGGGAATTTCACAGCGCTGTAGAGTGTGGGCAGATGACTTGTCCCACAGGGACTTCATTTACCCACACAAAGATGGGGGCGCCCAGGACCTAGGTCCGGGCAGAAAATAAAGATTACAAACTAGGTCATATGGGGGGCTTAGGGGCATTTGGGCGTGACTAGGGGGACAATTAGATGTAGTGGAGTTGGGAGGTGGGTTAAAAAAAAAAAAAAAGCCAGAACTAGGATTCGGCCATGACCGTGCCGCTTTATTATACAAATATTTGATGTAACATGAAAGCCATGTTTCTCTTGAACAAAATTAAATATGAAAAGTGTGGGTGCACATAATATGAAAGAGGTGAATTACGTCTGAACAAACATATAGCACATATTCAAGGTTTTGTTTTGATCACAACTTGTACAACTTCCTCAGTCCTCAAGTGGTTAATTGAAGTTTAAAGTTTCCTTACACACACCTTCCTAGGAAATTTACTCTCTGTAGGAATTTTCTCAATATAGTTGTAGGATCTAAATAAATATGTCATATGAGGTATTGAGTCTTGAACTGAAAAGCTTAAATATATTTACATACCACTATCTCTCTTGGGCAGTTATGGGGCTTTTTTTTTTATTTTTTGTGTGAGTTCCAAATCCTTCCTTTCAGAATGTTTGCTGGGGAAAAAATAACGCAAAAGGGCAGGGTGACATGCCACATTTCACTATCTGTTCTAAAACCTCTGTTCTAAAATATGGAACAATTAAGTGAGCAAGTGATCTAGAGCTGGCATTAAAGGGATCCTATGGGTACTCAGACAGCTTCCACTTGTTGAAATGGTCTTTGTGCATAGTCCCTGTCCCCTTAATCCTGTGACAATGACTGATTATTATTTTTTAATTTTTTTTAATGATTTTATATACATTTCCTCAAGTTTTACGAATTTGGTATTAATTGAGGAATTTAAAGTGAATTTCACATTTAAATGATAAACCTTACTGTTATGTAATTGCTACCATTCTCCTATCCCGGGAACTGCTTATCACACATCTGCTCAGAGGAGTTGAACTTTAAAAGCCAAGAAATGTTTTAATTCCTTGTTTTCTGTGCAAAACAACCTACCCTACCTGTTCTTAAAATCGTGAACACGGATTGTCTCCAAATTTTATAGTTTAAAAAAGTTTCTGCCTCACACAACTACATTTGTTACATAGAATGCTTTCAGTGTGATTTTTGCAATGAAAACTACATGCACCTAGGTCTTGAGCATTATTCAGTGTTTTAATAAGGCCACACACCCTTTAATAAAATTATATTTTAGATCTTTTGGTTCCATCATAGTTAAAGAAGCTCTTTAGTATGAATCATAATTTGTCAAATTAGCAATCGTTAAAAGTATTATATAATATTGCATCACAAAGTCCCATTCCTTTTATTTCAACTTGTTCTTTTGGTCAGCTGAAGCCTTCTCCATGAATTCTAACTCCACCCAAAACCCTGCCCTATTTGTCTGGAAAGGAAACTGGTCATCATATGGCTTGTCTATATTTATAAATATATCCTTCTCTAAAACTACACAAGTAGCATTTATTTCTCTTGTGAGCTATCTTGAGGCTGTTATGCACAAACCTTTTATTTTTCCATGTAATAACTCATTTATACCTGTTATGGAAGGGAGCAATGCAAATTATAACTTTTGGTTATGAAACTTAATAAAAGGTAAAGTCACCAAACATGGTCAAGATGAAGTCTTGTAATCAAACGTTCACACAGTTTGTGTACAGAAACTTGTATTCTGTTATAAAGCCTGTTTTCTGACTAAAAGGCATGTAATTGTCATGCAGATTACTGCTAAATACTGTACTCTGTGACAAGTATGTCCTCTGGGGCTGAACTTACCATTCGCAAACAGTCTAGTCTAAAATCGTTGAATCTGGCTCCTAAACTGCCGAACTATGTCGCAGTCTGAGGCTTTAATCGGGAGGCCTCGGAATTGGAACTGCTGAGGGTGTCAGCATTTTCAGCCGATCAGTAGCTTCCCATTCACAAAACCGCATGAGAAAAAAAAAATTTAGGCCTGGAGACGAAGACTGGTAGCTAAGATAAATGCAACACTTATTTTTTTTATTTATTTTTTTTTAAACCAAGTTGTGTAAAGGGGTGAGTTGACACTTATTCGAGTGTTCCACTAATGTATGCGGGTGGTTGTTTTCTATCACTAATTTTTTATTTTTTTTTATACACTATCTTGCATGTTGGTCTGTGTGATGTATAGTGAAAATCCACACTAGTGTTGCATTAGCTCGTTTTTTACTTAAAGCGCCTTTCTTTCTGACTATTGTATTTCGGACTGAAATACAGCACTGAGGCAGTGAATTTAGCAGAACTGGAACAGAAACTCGGCACCAGATCAATAAAAGTGGGGGGTGTACCACACCAGATAGGACCAAAGGTGCAGCATGCATAGAAACCTCAAACAATCCAGCACATAGTAGCCCGGTGCAAGATGTTAGAAGAGACAGTGTACACTGGGAGGCACTACCAGGATGCGGAGATGTATCAATACCCAGTGACCGTAACAAGAAGGACCATGGGAAAGTAGAGGAATACTATGGTCCAAATGAGGAGCTAGAAATGGAATTGAAAGTCAAGGTAGTAGTTGTCTCATTTGTGATTGGAGCACTCTGGGCCCATATTAGGAATGACTTTAGCAGATTCCAGGTGGGACATCTGAGATCTCTGTACAGTTTTAGGAACATATGAGATACTGTGTTGAACCCTCAGGCCCCTGGTAGAGAACCAGGAATGGACAGGAATACACACACCAAAAACAAAACCTGATAGGCGAGCAGTCTCTCTCTCCCTCCCTCCACATTTGGTGGTATATTATCCCATGTACCTGCAACTTTTTGGAGAAACACAAGTCTCTGGATTCTTTGTGTTAATTCAAAATCACTGTGTGGTGGCACATACCTACAGGGAAACTATAGTGCCTATGTCCCGCAGCACTGGCTCGAACTCATACTAAGCTCCTCTCCTGCTGACGTCAGCCGGCAGGGGAGAACTAATGAGCATGTGCTGCAATGACTGCTCTTGCATTAGAACTTCTCCTATAGAAGAGCCTTAGACAATGCTTTCCTATAGGGGTTCGGGTGACACTGGACATCCTCATGCATAGCGTGAGGATGTCCAGTGAATGTTAGGCGACCAAAAGTCCCCATACGACCTGGAAATCCCTCTAGTGGCTGTCTAGTAGTCGGCCACTAGAGGTTTAGTTAACCCTTGATGGTAATTATGGCAGTTTCTCAATAACAATTACTATTGCAGGGTTAAGGGACCTGGGAATATGCAATTAGACCACTTCAATGAGCTGAAGTTGACTGTGTGCTTATAGTGTCCCTTTAAGTTACTGGAAGCATACAACCTTCTCCCCTTTTCTGAAAAACACTGACATGACACCTTATGACAAATTACATTGAGTAAAAGAATGTTACACAGATCAAACCAAGCTGTTACTTGTTCTCCTATCCTTTATGTTCTAATATATGCAAGTATTTAGGTATTTTGTGGCACATTGTTTTGGTGCAAAGCGTGTCATCAATTTATCAGCTGTAGTGATTGTCGCTTGGAAAATATGGGAGCAAACTCTCACTTTTGACAAACCATTTGGTAGTGTTACTGTGCTTAGTGCCCATATAAGTAATATGATTACAATCTGTGTAAAGATTTTGTGATTTTTGGCTCTTGTTATTAAACATGGTCATCTCTTTGTGCTTTTTTTCTGTTTTTCCATCCAGCCTATATAATCATATCCAGTTGTCTAGTAACCTTATGTCCGGCTGCGACTATTCTCTCTTTAAGGCAAGTACTAGTACAATTGCACAAATCATAAAAGCCTAATTTTAGTCTACTGCTTTTTGATCTTTTGACATTTCTTTATATTTTTCTACGCAGGATGGTATTGAGCCCATGTGGGAAGATGAAAAGAATAAACGTGGAGGAAGATGGCTAATTACCCTAACCAAACAGCAAAGAAGAAATGACTTGGATCGTTTTTGGTTAGAAACTGTACGTTTGTGCTAAAGAGGATGAACACTTTCCCTATAAAGTGTTACTTGTTGTCTTTGTCTACAATTTGAGTTGCTTTACAAGGAGGACTAAGAAAGTAGATCAAGAAAGATTCATTGATGCTACTGATACTATCCTCCTACAGAAATTGGTAGATGAACAGGCCTGTTTGTAATCATTACTCAGGTTCTACTAAGTTTACCAACACTTGCCTCTTCAAGGGTTTTTCAACCTAGGTTCCCATTTTGGGAATTCTGATCAGCCTTATTCTGACTTAAGAACCATATCTGTGTACACTTTGAAAAGTTAATTTGTGTTTATATAGTATATAGAGCATGTCTATTTTTACTTGAGTTAATTCAGGAAGCCAGCATTGTATTGTAGGCTGGGGCTTCTGCTTAAAGTGATACTGTAGTGCCAGGAATACAAATCTGTATTCCTGGCACTACCGATCCCTCTGCCTCCACCCTCCTTCGCACCCCTCCTACCTGGTAAATAAAGGGATAAAAACCCTTTTATTTACTTATCTGATCAATGCTTTCCTATGGGGAAAATCTGACGCTGGAGGTCCTTATGCAGAGCGTGAGGACATCCAGCGTCCGATAATGGACCAAAAAAAAAGTTTGGATTCCGGAAGCCTACTAGTGTCTGTCTGGTAGACAACCACTGAGGGCAGACTTAGTGCTGCAATTTAAACATTTCAGCACTAAGTGCAAAAGGGACACCGCACCCAGACCACTTCAATGAGCTGAAGTGATATGGGTGCCTACAGTGTCCCTTTAAGTCAAACCGCTTTGCCCACTTTTCTGTTCACAACCAAGAGTAGTGGTGTCTGGTCAAAATTACTAGGTTTCTGGTGATGCACCAGACTGTAAGCTAGTTTGAGCAGGGTACTCATCTACCACTGTGTAATTCTTATTTATTGTAACATATCCCCCTTTCATAATAGTGTAAAGCGCTGTGGAATTAGTTGGCGCTACATAAATACCAATAATTACCAGTTGTCAAGGTAGTACATGGTCTTGATCAATTTATGTTTTGGTAGGATTTTTTTTTTTTTTTTTTTTAAATGGCCAACCTGATCCTAAAGCACAGTACTGGCAACTCTTTGGAAACTGTAAATGTAATTTGTGTGCATTAGAGGAGTGAAGGGACACTTCTCAAGTAACAGGGCTGCAACCTGCCTGCTGTTAGATAGCCGTGAGAGAGCTCTCGCTGAATTAATTGTTTCCCAGCATTAGTAATGTGGGTATAGAATGTTAATTTCTACATGGGCACTTGGCCTTGCATTCTATTGGCTAGGAGATAATCTATACTGATGATCTCCCAGCGGGTGGGTTTGAGCTGCAGTGAGAAGAGCATCTTGTTGGATTGGAGTATGTTTGTTTGTTTATTTATTTAATTTTTTATTTTTTTGCATTGGAAGGGTAAAATGGACCCAGTGGATTTAGCATCACTCCAGAGTTATAAATAAATGCATTTTATAACACTGCAATGTTACTTTAAAGCAGTCTCTGTCCCTTGTTTTAAAGGTGTAACATATTTATGATGGTATTTTATTCATTTTTTAACTTTTGTTTTGTCAGACATAGTTTGTTGCAAAATTGGAAGTGCTTTAGACTAGGTTTTTTGCCTTCTTTTGGATCAACAGCAAAAAACATATGTGAGGAAGGCTGAACTTGATGGACGCAAGTCTCTTTTCAGCTATGTAACTATGTAATATCCAAATTGTGTTTGGTTTTTACAGCTCATGTGCCTTATCGGAGAATCCTTTGATGAATACAGTGAAGATATATGTGGAGCTGTTGTAAATGTTAGAGCAAAAGGAGATAAAATAGCAATCTGGACTACTGAATGTGAAAACAGGGATGCTGTTACACATATAGGGTGAGTTAATTCTGTTAATATTCTCTAAACATTTGATGCCAATAGTATGCTATATTTGCACATGCTTACAAATATATTTGAATATTTTAAAGCAGCATGTTCACTACATTTTAGTGACCATGACGCTTTATATATTTTTCGGATCAGTGACTCGATGAATAGCTCATAGCTGCTCACTGTGAACAACATATTGGAGTGAAACTCAAATAGCAAAATAATTGTAAAAATTCTCTAACTTGCTACAGCTTGACATAAATTTATAATCATTTATACTTCTGTGAGGGTCCTTGGAGAATAGCTGCCTATTGTATCAAGACTTGTTTTTCTTAAAATTCCTTGATATAACCACTATTATGAATTCTTGCTATGAATACTCTTGCTAAGTATGCACTGTCAGCACCTCTATAAAATTGTCATCAAAATGTTATAATGGAGTAAACCTGTTTTGAGAGAAATATCACTGTTCATAGGTCATTCTGTGGCTTTGCAAATCTTATAATATTCTGTTTACTTGTTTCTTTTAAAACATGTCTGTCTACACATATATCATGTGGGTTTTTATTTTATTTTTATTTTTTTATATACAGGAGGGTTTACAAGGAAAGATTAGGACTTCCTCCCAAAGTAGTCCTTGGTTATCAGTCCCATGCAGACACAGCTACTAAAAGCGGCTCCACCACTAAAAACAGATTTGTTGTTTGAGAAGACGCCTTCTGAGTATTGTTTCATAGGAGACTGCGTCAAGCAATCGCGACTTGGGAGCTGTACCAAAGCCTCTACAAAAGCAGAGTGGACTGCATTTAAATTTGATTTCCACCTAAATATTGCTAAGATTTGTGAAAAGTCATTCGCCTTTTTGTCTTGTGCTATGTTCAAAACCCCCTATCCCTTTTTGTTTTGGTTATTTTTATTTTTTCCTACAATTAAGTTATCTAATCAAAACATTTCAGCAAGCAAATACTTTCCCTTTCAGTATCCTCAATTGCTGCCCAAGTTATCTCTGTAATAGAATCTTTAGTTTTCGAACTATTACAGAAATATTTATCCAGATTGTGCTCTCGCATCACCCGCAAGAAAAGGAATCTTTATATTTGCATTGTATGCAGTTACAATAGTTTGCTGATTTGCAAGGCGGAGGATTAAAATGCATTCAAACTTCTATAGCGATTCATGGTTTGTTTTAATTTTTTTTTAATTTTTTTTCTTAACAGCATTGTTCTTGCTGTATTTTGTGCTGATGGCTGCTAGGTTTAATTTATTTGTTTCCCTTCTTGATAACATTAGTGATATGATTTATTTTTAAAAAAAATTTTTTTTTTTTTTTTTAAAAGCTTATGTAACTGGTGATGGATCGGGGGGGAAAACAAATGGGCTAAATAAAAGTGTTAATATTGTGTGTTTAGAAACATTCTTTTTATATATATTTTTTTGTATGACATTACAAAGCCTTGTTGCAAGTTTACGCGTTTCAGTGAAATCCATGACCTCTGTGATTTCTTAACATAATGTGGATTTTTTTTTTTTTTTATGCAAACTATAACATTCCTTACTAGAAATAGAATGTCTTTTTGCATTTTTTTTCTTTGGATTTCTTTTCCTGGGGTGGGGGGGTTTCTCATATGGTGTATTTTAACACATTTGTATTTAGACTATTTTGCTTTGGTTATATAAAAAAAAAGGCTCACATAGCAAAGCAGTCACTATTCATCTTAAGACAGTGTACAAAACTGTAAATAAAATGTGTACAGTGAATTGTCTTTTAGATAACTAGATTTGTCATTTTTTCCTCCCTGCCAGAGGAATGGTTCTTCTTCCTCAAGTATGGTAACTTTCTACCAGGATGCAATATAAGATTTGTAAAAAAAAAAAAAAACATTGTATGCATAATGAATTTGGCACACTGTATCTTCTACAATGCCTGGTATAAGGTACCTTCTGAAAATGGTATTGCTGTTTTGTATCAACTTATTCCAGAGGTAATTGATAATCACACTGCTTAATGTAGCATACATTTAACTTTTCTGTTTGTGTACATGTTATAGATATGATGGTAGGGCAATAGATCCAGTCTAGTTACCCTAAAAGAGGAATTGTTCATCTTCAAGTAAGACCAGGTATTTGCGGCAGAGACAAAATGGGGCTGTGGAGAGAGAGGCACACAGAAGGATAGGGAGTCACAAATCGATACAGTGCGGTTGGGGAATGTGGTAAAAGACAAAGGCTTTAACTAAACATATTAGATTTAGGGACATACTAATCACGGTATCTGTATCCATTTTATACGTCAATTCAGGATATCTGTTCTCCAAGACCATAGTTGAAACAAACACAGATCTGGGCTTTAGCACAAATATGTTTCACCCTTAAAAAGTTCTAATGAAGGTTCTCTAGTACACTGCATTGTGAGGGTGCTACAGTATATGGAACTTACACTATCATTTAGTAAATACACATGGAAAGCTTGCGTAAGACACAGGTGCAGGAACATAATAAAAGCATTCACACAGTGACTGTTAAAAAAAATTGCATGGAGTGTACAGGATTCTGCTTTACTCTGCAGAAAAAAAAAGTTATATCAAAAAGTGCGATTTTAAACCGTTAATTTGACAAAGTGTGAATTGCTAAAATAACAAATGTTTTGGCACACCAAACTATTTTTGTGTGTGCAACTTCCTTAAGCTCTGTGTTTACACTTGTCTATTTGCTGTTTGACATTGTCCTTGATTTTGAAGATAACTGGTTAAAAATGTAACTATCAAGAACTGACTTTCTTTTTCAGAATAACTACATATGATGCTCCTGATTAACAGAAACTTTTCTGATTGCTCTGCTTTTTTTGTCACTGTGGGCCAATGTCTAATCTGAAATTATTTAGTGTGGTTTTTTTTATGAAATAGTAATGCAATTTTCAAGATTTTATTTTTTTAATTTTATTTATATCAGTTAAGTGTACACATTTTTCACTGTTAAGATACATGTAAATTATTAACACTACATCTTCCAACACCTTGACTAGCAGCATTTAAAAAAAAAAAAAAAAAAAAATTTTTTAAAGGTATGTGGAAGAGTATATCTTTAATCTTTACTTTGCAGATGTCAGGAGCTATATTAAAATGCACGAGTCTTGAAAATGAGCCCTTCATTAAACTCTTATTAGAAAATTGGGTCAAATTTGTCAACTAGTGGAATCAACCTTTTTTTGTTTTTTAAGATTGTATTTATTTTGAGTCTTTCAATTTAAATTATTTAACCTTAAAGGGATACTAAAAGCATTTAAAAATAAAAAAAGGGTTAGGAACACAAACATGTATTCCTGACCCTATAGTGTTAAAACCACCATCTAGGCTCCTTTGGTCCCTCATGCCTCCATAAATATAGCAAAATCGTACTGTATTAAAGCCTGAAGCTGTAGGTCTGCACGCTGTTTGCCTCAGAAAAACAAGCAGTCTGCTGACATCATCAGAAGTGGTGGCCTGACCCAATCACAATGTTTCACCATAGGATTGGTTGAGACTGACAAAGAGGCAGAGCCAGTACAATTCAAACACAGCCCTGGCCAATCAGCATCTCCTCATAGAGATGAATTGAATCAATGAATCTTTGAGGAAAGTTCAGTGTCTGCATGCAGAGAGAGGAGATACTGAATGTTTGGATGCATTTTAGGGGCCATGACCCAGGAAGGATCTCTAACAGCCATCTGAGGAGTGGCCAGTGAAGTTATCACTAGGCTGTAATGTAAACACTGCTTTTTCTCTGAAAGACATTGTTTACAGCAAAAAGCCTAAAGGTAAGGATTCTACTCACCTGACCAAATTCAATAAGCTGTAGTTGTTCTGGTGACTATAGTGTCCCTTTAAGCTTAAAGGGACAGTATAGGCACCCAGACCAATTAATCTTAATAGGTGCAACCCCCCCCCCTTTTTTGAACCCTGCAGTTGAAAACATGTTTGGTAGCAGTTGCAATGTTTTTTCCTCAGGGTTAACCTGCCTCAAGTGGCTGCCGATATGACAACCACTAAGGCCACTTACATAAAATTGATTAAAATGATTTGTCAGATCTGATTGGTGCAGTGTTTTTGCACATGCACATTACTATCCCAGCACTTTCCTACAATGATCTTTGCCAAAGAGGTGATACTTACACGAGGAAACTGGTGCTGCACGGGAGTAGTGGTGAGTTAACTCCCTTTTAACACGGTCAGCGCTGGTCTGGTCACCTAAACAGTAAATAGGGCACTATAGCATTATGAATACATATTTGTATTCATGCTAAAGATACGTGGTGTATTCTATGTAAAATATAAAGATTTACTCACTTTTCCTCTGTTCCAGCACTGCTTTGTGGGTGTTATTCTTAGTTTGCCCTCTACATTGGCTCCTCTTCGTCTTTTTTTTTTAAATTTGGCTTTTTTTTTTTTTTAAGCGCTTCCCCATGCAGGGTGATCAAATCTAGTCAGTGACTTCTGCACGCTGGCTTTATTGCTGGCCTCAGAACGAAGTGGCGTCATGTATTTCTGTTACTATATCTTGTGGTCAGTGCTAGGGAGTAGAGGTACCACCTCCTGTGGGAGGTCTATTCTGCTAGTCTCGACAGCTGGGATAAAAAGCAAAGCAACATGGGAATTGTAGATCTGCAATTGCTGAATCTTTGGTCATACTTGACTTTTGTTCATATGACAAGTATTGCCTTCTGTTAAAGGAATACAAACATAAGCTGTGGGGTTTTGGTGGCTACACAAATTTAAAGAGCGCTTTCTTTGCTAGTGATGTTTATCACTCGTCTAGAACAAAGATGACACCCCAACAGGTTGACCCTTGTTTTGTCTTTAAAATTAGTAGAGTTTTGGTTAAGGCCCACTTTATTAGACCATGTCACTGTGTCTGAGTGAATGACCTTTGGCATCCTGCAGATAAAGCACGAGACTCCTGTCAATGTAACAAAATTGCATTTGTCTCAACAATGGTGATCTAATTTTCATATTTGATTCTATTACAGATGGAAAAAAAAATACCAACAATATAATTACTTGAGATAAGACTGCTACACTGGTTTGAACTTTATAAAAAAAAAAAATTTTTTTTTACTTTTGTTTAGGTTCCCAAATGAATAAAAGCCTTTTTTCACATTGTTTTTTGAATGTTTATAGATATATATTTTTAATTCTCCTATATGTAAGTGACAGATTATTGCATGTTTGGTACATAATGTATCCTTATTTAACATACACTGGCCAAAATATGTGGGTACCAAAGTTACACTATTCCTTTACTAAATTAATGCATTATGCCAAGATGTTACAGTTACAGGAAAAACATCTCTATATTATTCTAAATTCCTTATTAAAGAGACATGAGGAAAGAGCAAGACAACAAATATAGGGATTATCCCTGGAAATCGTGGATTGGCTGGCCAGCATATTTCAGCTGGCACTTGTTTTATTCAATTTATCTTTATAAAATATATTTTTTGTGCAAAAATGTATCCTGTGGAACACTGCGTACCTAATATAAATTACACCTGCCTAAATGTTTGTGAAATACATTTTTCGGGGTACCTGATCTGCATGTAACACGTGTTGGATAACTCAGATGTGTTTTTAAAAGAGCCCAGTACACTCACAACACTGTATGTTGGATATCCTTCTCAAGGAATATACTTTGGATATCTTATTTATGATGCCAAGTCTTGTTTCTTTTGACAATGTTACCAGTCATGAGTTTTTTGGAAGATTACTTTTTTGAAACTTGATTATTCATCTATGAACTAATAAAAAAAAATTAAAAAAAATTTGTGTGCCTATATAAACTCATCTACGTGTCTTGTCTAATTCATGCTATTAGAAGCTTTAACCCCTTAAGGACATGTGACATGTCGTTATTCCCTTTTATTCCAGAAGTTTGGTCCTTAAGGGGTTAAAAGCTTTATACAAATTCTAGACCAGGGATAGGCAACCTTCGGCACTCAAGATGTTGTGGATTACATCCCCCATAATGCTCTTACACCCATAATGCTAGTAAAGCATCATGGGAAGTGCAGTCCAAAACATCTGGAGTGACGAAGGTTGCCTATGCCTGTTCTAGGCGTTTGAATCAGTTATTTGTCTACACACAATGCCTGAAGGATCTCTGATTTTGATGTATTGTGATGTGTCCTTCAAACCTAGTGATGTCAATCTGTACATTGAGAGTAACCTTTGAGGGAGATGTAAAAGATTACATCTTGCATAATCTTCTGTTCAAGAACAAATTGTCTTAAGGTTTTGGGGCAAACACATGCCAATAGTATTTTTATTTTTTGTGTGTAAGAACATTTTAGTTTACTTCTTTTGAAATGAATGTGGCAAGGCACTCAGTCTTATTTATGTCCAAGGATACACTTGATCTAATTAATGTATTCTCTGTACCTTTTCTGGTAGAATAGGCAGAGCGTAATTTATGGGACCCATACTCTCTGAAGATGATCTCCCAAGCACACAAAACTGGGCCTACACCCCTTCAGAATGTTATGGAGACAGATCTGGTTCATCTTGCTCTTCTCTCCAATAGTTGCTTAATTCTATAGTTTTAGATAAGACCTATAATATTACTTTTCAAGTATGTAAATTCTGGATTCACAAAAAGGTCTATCACTACTGATATAGTGATCCTTTTTTCTTCATATGATCTGGCATCCTTGAAATTATCTTTAGTTGTTTTGGATTGCTTAATGCTACTGTCATTTTAAGTGTATCTGTGTATTTTGCAATGGACCATGAAAGTGACATACTTGCTTGGTGTGTGGTTGTTCAGGTGACATTCTAGAGAAAATTATATTAACCTGATGCTCTCCTTAATGGAAGCCACCATCTTTATGGTGATGTTCAGCTTGTGGCTCTTCATCCGCCTAGAGCCCAGGGTGCGCCGTCTACTGGGAATTGACATAAACTTGCTGGCAGAAGCTCAGTTTTTTGTCAGTGCTAGATTTTACTGTACGATATATATCATATGAACGATCGTGTCAACATAGATGCTTTAATTCATATTTTCCCAAACATATCACTTTGGAAGGTTGAAGTAGACAGCTACTTTTAAGGGATATTTAGCTCCCCAAGAAAATATAAAATGCCCTTCTAGAGGCACCTTGAAGGTGTTCATAATAAGAAGTCTAATTGCTGTAGAAAGAGTTGTTCTTCTATCAAGACACACGCATGAACACCAAAGTGTTCATTTCAGGTGCAGACTTCCAGGGTATGTTTGCTTTGGAGTTAAATATGTATATTTGTGTTCTTCCTGCACAGAGGATCTTTGTCTGTGTTTTTGGTGTTTTTTTTTTTTGTTAGTTTTTTTGTCTTTCCCAGAGGAAACATTCTCTTGTAGTCGAATGAATAGGGAAAGTTACTACTTTTTCAAGTGCTCAAAATAAGTATATGTGTACATTGATAAAATTGTGTTTTGCATTGTAATGTCAGACAGCGGCGAAACATCTCTGCAAGGATCCCATACATTACTAATTATTGAAAATACTAGTATGTCAGCCCAATGGTAAATTTTAGAATTGAGCATGGCAAAAAAGTTTGTCCAAATATATTTGTCTGAAATCTAGTTTTCAGTGAATTAAGTTTCTTGCAGGCACTGTTTTGTTCACATTAATTTTGGCCAATTGAGCATTGCAGAAAAATCCATTCAGACGAACCACAGTGGAGTGAAAATAGCAGTGTACTGCATAAGAAATACATAATCTAAATATTATGTACATATTGTGCAGTATACTGATGGACATATTTTCCATGGATCAAGTAAAAAGAAATAGCCAATAGAGGAGGAGAGCATTAAAAAAAACTATGTATATTTTATTTGAATATGATTTGTTTATTTTAAATATTTTTCTACTTGTACCTACAGGATACCTGTAACTCAACATATACAGTATTATGCAGTAAATGCTAAATGCCCCCACTCAGGATTTGCAAAAATCATCCAGATCTGTCCGGGAAAATGTGCACTGTCAAGAATTTACAATACTGGCTCGGAGTGATAATTTTGTCCGGATTTCAGGCTGTTCTGCTGTTCCCAAATGGCTTAAACCTAGTGTCCACAATACAGGCCAAGCTGTTTGCCCACAGAGTGTACTAGCAGCCAGCAGGCAATCCGTAAAAAATAAAATAAAAACCTCAGTAGCAACTGAAAATCTCTTTCTAGCCAGTTGTCACTAAAATGTTAGAAAAAAACCCTGTCTCATTGGAGATTTATGGTGCATGTGCAGCAATAACCACACTGCTTTAACTAGGTGCTTCTCAGAGAGATATGAATCTAATGCTTTTCTAAGAAGCCTTAATGCAGAGCATTAATCATCATGCAGAGCAAATGTAAAAACCTTAACTTTTCAAAGGTGCAAGCGTGTCTAGTGGCTTTCTGTCTGACCGCCACTAAAGCAGCATTTTCTTTAATAAATAAGCACTACAGAAACAGCAATATTTTCGTTTCTCAGAGAAAAAGGGAAAGAACCTCTGGCCCTTGATATTCACTAAAGGCCGTCTTAGTCCTGCAATGGAACCATTGCATTTTGTATAAAACTGCAATGATTTACATTCCATGACTAAGGGGGACAGGGACACGGCACCTAGACCACTTCAGTGAGCTGAAGTGGTCCAGGTGCCATACAGGGAGTGCAGAATTATTAGGCAAGTTGTATTTTTGAGGATTAATTTTATTATTGAACAACAACCATGTTCTCAATGAACCCAAAAAACTCATTAATATCAAAGCTGAATATTTTTGGAAGTAGTTTTTAGTTTGTTTTTAGTTTTAGCTATGTTAGGGGGATATCTGTGTGTGCAGGTGACTATTACTGTGCATAATTATTAGGCAACTTAACAAAAAACAAATATATACCCATTTCAATTATTTATTATTACCAGTGAAACCAATATAACATCTCAACATTCACAAATATACATTTCTGACATTCAAAAACAAAACAAAAACAAATCAGTGACCAATATAGCCACCTTTCTTTGCAAGGACACTCAAAAGCCTGCCATCCATGGATTCTGTCAGTGTTTTGATCTGTTCACCATCAACATTGCGTGCAGCAGCAACCACAGCCTCCCAGACACTGTTCAGAGAGGTGTACTGTTTTCCCTCCTTGTAAATCTCACATTTGATGATGGACCACAGGTTCTCAATGGGGTTCAGATCAGGTGAACAAGGAGGCCATGTCATTAGATTTTCTTCTTTTATACCCTTTCTTGCCAGCCACGCTGTGGAGTACTTGGACGCGTGTGATGGAACATTGTCCTGCATGAAAATCATGTTTTTCTTGAAGAATGCAAACTTCTTCCTGTACCACTGCTTGAAGAAGGTGTCTTCCAGGAACTGGCAGTAGGACTGGGAGTTGAGCTTGACTCCATCCTCAACCCGAAAAGGCCCCACAAGCTCATCTTTGATGATACCAGCCCAAACCAGTACTCCACCTCCACCTTGCTGGCGTCTGAGTCGGACTGGAGCTCTCTGCCCTTTACCAATCCAGCCACGGGCCCATCCATCTGGCCCATCAAGACTCACTCTCATTTCATCAGTCCATAAAACCTTAGAAAAATCAGTCTTGAGATATTTCTTGGCCCAGTCTTGACGTTTCAGCTTGTGTGTCTTGTTCAGTGGTGGTCGTCTTTCAGCCTTTCTTACCTTGGCCATGTCTCTGAGTATTGCACACCTTGTGCTTTTGGGCACTCCAGTGATGTTGCAGCTCTGAAATATGGCCAAACTGGTGGCAAGTGGCATCGTGGCAGCTGCACGCTTGACTTTTCTCAGTTCATGGGCAGTTATTTTGCGCCTTGGTTTTTCCACACGCTTCTTGCGACCCTGTTGACTATTTTGAATGAAACGCTTGATTGTTCGATGATCACGCTTCAGAAGCTTTGCAATTTTAAGAGTGCTGCATCCCTCTGCAAGATATCTCACTATTTTTGACTTTTCTGAGCCTGTCAAGTCCTTCTTTTGACCCATTTTGCCAAAGGAAAGGAAGTTGCCTAATAATTATGCACACCTGATATAGGGTGTTGATGTCATTAGACCACACCCCTTCTCATTACAGAGATGCACATCACCTAATATGCTTAATTGGTAGTAGGCTTTCGAGCCTATACAGCTTGGAGTAAGACAACATGCATAAAGAGGATGATGTGGTCAAAATACTCATTTGCCTAATAATTCTGCACTCCCTGTAGTGTCCCTTTAATGCTGAACCTGTACTGCATTTCAGGGACACATTAACTCATGAATCCAAACTATTTTATAAATGCATACCATTTGACAATGAAGTACATTGTACTGTAATGCAATGTGGTGCAGTGTACCCTGTACAGTAGTCTAGCATCATTACTACAGGATTTTGAGGCTTACAGAGTACTGGTTTAAAACTCCGTAAACCCCATAAAAAAACGCTGATCACCACAATAAGAAATACTTACCTGTATGAACTTGTTAGGAATTATATTAGTTATTCTATAGCTGTAAACAATCAGTAGAGGGATTTCTCATGGTTGCACAGTGAGTTCTCTGCACTATATGATCGCAACATAAAAGTGTATATATCCTATGTTGCTGAATGGCAAGTAGTCATGATTATTTTAATGCACTCACTGCCTGATCACACCTCATGGTTTTAGCTGAGCAGCATGATTAATCATGTATTGCAGGTATTACTACTCACAGAGCAACAAAAAGGCAACAGTGACAGTAACCAAACCCTCTCCAATTTCCATTAAAGAGACACCTCATTCACCAAAACAACTTCATCTAA